TGCGATGGCTTGCTGGTTTTGATGGCAATCACTGGGCTCGTTAATCTCGAGTTATCGACTCGGAGGGGGCGATTACCGACCGCGATTTGGGGCTCTCTCGCCGTGGATTCACTGAACCCTATCGGGGTCGGCGTAATGAAGCACGTACTCATGGCAAATGCTGTTCGTTCCCTGCATTATTGCCATCTATTGGCTGCAGCCTATGAGTGTAGCCTCGCCTTCCTCCTACCGTATATTCACCTTATTGCTCACCGGTATATACGACTCCTGCCTCTCCACCGCCTAGCTCAACATATCGATCACCCGAAACTAATTCTCACTCTACCTAACGTTCGCTGAACCTCTAGATCGACTACTCGAGCAAGAGCGCAGCACACGACCCTCCTGACCCCTCATCAGCTCCACGTCGTTAAGTTCACCCTCGACTGCATTACACGAGTCATACCTGGTGTCTGCCGATATGGAGAGTTCCAAGTCATGGAGCAAGTGGCAGGGTTTGGCTGCACTAGCTGTTTACTCGGTCACCATCATCGCCCTTGACCGTGTCTACGTAGAAGGCAGTACGTGGAAGTCCGTCGTGGCTTGGTGGAAGAGGTATCTGAAGCGCAGACGGGATGACCCTTGGATGAACGCCAACACGAGCAACGAGGTCATTTTCAACATGCTGGCCAAGGCGATGCCTGAGTCGCCACACCATGTGTCGGATAAGGGCTATGAGCTTCTTTGCAGCTACAGCTTCAAGTCGTACACCGATACCCCTACTATCTACGTTCCTGGTACTCCGCCGATGTTTACGAAGCCAAACGCCCCGTTGAAACTGGAGCCTGACACAGGACGCTACTATATCGACCAACATGTAGCCAAGGTACCGCGGTTTCAGTTTGAGCCACTCTTCCAGGCTCTTACTGTTATGAAGCCAAGCAAGCGTTTCGACGACGTTGATGTCCTCGTCGCTCGCGGATCAATGACTGCGCTCATTACATACGTCAAGGATGTATCATGCCAGCCGTTCGCACTGACCCTCCACGTCGTTGGCAACACTTTGATTGTGGGGCGACGGCTTCGCTCTGGCATGGCTGGCTCTACAAACGGATCGTACGGGCGGAACTTTGAGGCTGCTTGGACGACGCAACTGGAACCAGATCTTCAAGATGCGGAAGGGCATCATCACACCATAGAGTACGATTTCGGTGGCCTCAACATTGTGGTAAGGGCAGAAACAGACGCATATATGCCCGATGAGCAGCCCTCAACGAACGAAATCGAGGAATTGTTGGCGAAATCCGCGTCACATCTCGAGCCCGAAATCGCGAACACTACCATCCGACCCGAAAGCTCTGACTCGACCATTGTGCTCCTGGCAGGAAAGTCGATCCCTCACAGCAAGACAATGGAACTGAAGAGCAACAATCAAAGCAAGCCTCTCGATCAGATCTGGGTCGGTAGAACTTCGCGGTGGTCTCTTGGAACAAACAAGGATGGCGTCTTCTCTTCCACCGAGAAGACCTTCACCCCAGAGGACATGAGGAAGAACTACGAGGATGACAGCAAGCGACAAGGAGCCCTTCGTAAGCTTGTATGGTTGTTGGGAGAGTTGAAGACGACGGTAAAGGATAACACAAGCAATGGGTCTGCTGTGCTCCTCTGCCTGGGAAAGGGCGAGGAGCTGGTGGTACGCCCAATGAAGACGCACTTGCCTGCTCTCCCTGATGCGATTGTGCAGCGTTTCTGGACCCTGTCTGATCAAGCCGAGATGCGGAAGTAGGTATAGTCAAGGTATTCATCAATTCTGATGACTGGTATTCCAGGCTGCCCAATTCTTTCATTGCTCCTCAAAGTTATCACAATCATATTGCCTATCGAAGTATGTTCTTAATGGCTAGCCCGAACCAAGACGATGCCCCAGTCCGAGTCAAAATCGTAGCCTGTTCCCATTTATTGCTGCTCCGCTACTAGGCAGCCAATTGATTCACTTGCTAGGTTTCCGTGGTCCGGTCTACTAGCGCTACGCTCTCTCCTCCGCCCCCAGATTTGTCGCGTTGAGGAGCTGCACGCCCTCTTACGTGGAATACCCCGAAGAGATGGAGATTTCATTAGGATTAGACAAGCAAATATGAAAATCTGACGTCAAAGTCGGTTCTAGGGTGCTCGCTTATCTCCTGGAGTGAGGGAGTATTGGCAAACAAAACAGGTCTCTTCTAAACGCCCGATCTCTCAATGGTATCAAGCCCCTTCGTCTCTCGTCTCCCGTCTCGATCACGGTCATGAGCAGTCCCACCACCGGCCGCCAGCGCGGTACTGCCTCCAAAGCGCCCCGGAAAACACCTAGCAACGACCCCGACGTTAGTCGTTGGGAGAATCAGCAACGTGCGCGTGCGCCTAGCGGCGCTACCCCACGGGTGAACACTCGAAAGCGCTCGAGATCTGGAGCGACTTCCGCCCTCGCCGACAAAGACGACGACGACGACGACTTCGATTCAGAGCACGACGTCAAAGTCAAGAAAGGCCGCACTACCTTCGACGAAAACGGGTACTTTAAAGAAGGCAACAAGAGCATGCGCTACTTTGGACCTGGGTTCACGGATCTATACTCGCCGTCCGTATCGCATCAACTCATCCATACCGGATTGTACAATCAGATGCCGCCCCGCGACGTACTTCAGAGGCCTTTCCATCCACTGCACAGTATTGTGACCCCCTCACAATTCGACATATCCGTCTTCACTATCCCGCTGACCGCGTTGGAGATTCTTACGGTATGAAACTCGTAACAGTCTCTCGAGATACTGCTAACTCGTTTCAAGTTCTTTCCCTTACATGCGCAGATTCCCGAAGTACAAGCCCGTTTCGCACAGAGCGGAATCAACCCAAGATTCCAGGCTTGGATCATCGTGAGTCTTCTTCCATGGCTACCCGAACGCGCGTATTGTACTGAGCTGACATTTCATCACGAAGAATCGTCAGCACCTTCTCCAGGGTCTGGACTGTCTCTTCGGTATGGACGCACGCACCTGGGTAAAGGACTGGAAGAAGAAGAAGGGGGTGACAAAGCCTGTCAAAGGAGCTGCGCCACTGCCACCGCAGCCTATCATCCACACGACCGGTCACTACACATTCACACCCGGTGTCAACCGACACACGGGCTTCGACATCGCCAAGATACCCTACGCGCTTATCGATTGCGCCGAGGGTGTTCATCCTTGCAATTTCCCCCAGGGTCTTGACCGCGGTCCCTTTACCGAAGCCCTCATTCAAGCTCAGCTCATGATTTACTCGAAGCTTATGCTGGCTGATCTAGATGCGTTCATTGCGTATTGGCTTATCGATCGAAATCTTCAGGCCGGCTACAGCGATGCGGGGTTCCTCAAGAGGCATGTGGCGTTGCATGAGGAATATCGGGCTATGGTGAGGAAGGATGTAGAGGCTCACGGCTATAGGTGGGAGGACTGAGGGTTGAGCGATGTGTCGTGGTGATGTTCAAGTGTGAGGATAGTATACTGGCGGATAGATGGAAAAGAGGCATGCAGATGTCTAGACTGCCTTTCGTAGCTTGGAAGCGAGGCTTTTCCAGCGATACAGTCATAGACGTGCCAATGAATAAGAGTAACGTGCGAATTGTTTCCGTTGACGTCAAAAAAGGCGTCTTGTTGTGAACATTCGCGGATGTGATATCGTGCGTAATACTGCCTGAGATCATCATTACATGGTTCAAAGCTACTGTGTCTTGTCTAAACACGCGTCTCTATCATCGGGTGAACCTTTCGCGCTCTACTTAATGTAATGAACTTTGCCATTTGAGCGAATGTCACACGTGTGAATCGCTCGACTTTGTTAGAATTTACCCGTCTCATAAACTAATGTCGCAGCAACACGCACGGAATCATCTACTAAATCATTTAGATAACTACAAGGTCTATTATTCAATTCCTTCCTTGTCTTCGCATATCCCTTATCTCAACGCGACGCTCATGATAGCCGACCAGATACTCCTATAGCATGTCTTCCACTGGTTCGGTCATCTCTTCGCATGTACTTTAATGGTCTGCGCGACAGAGGCACTGAAGTATAGCATCAATCCATCCAACCCTTGATGCCCATAATCACTCTTGATGAAGTGACAGGGACAAACGTACATAGAGTGTGTGTAAGAAAGTAGGATAATGAAGCTTTCGTGAAGACAAAAAGGGGCACATAATACACTGCCTCTGTCCCGGACCTGAGCTTTCTCAACACACAAATGGGGCCAGATCTTTCGCCACCACATATGAAGTCTGTACCTGCGGTCTTTCTGGTCGACCTTTGGGTCGTGTGTAGATGTATAAATCCGTCATTTCTTTGAGTCGTGCCTTCTCTTGTCGTGGCTGATCTTGGGTGACGCACTCTGCGAATTGAAGAAGACTGACAAGTACTTCGAGGATAGGAATTGGCCAACCGATTAACTGACGCTAAGCTCTCAATTCCTTCCTCGTATGGCTCACATTAATATTGTCGCCAGGATATGACGTGACTGACCAGGAAATGAGGAGCAGTGTCAGAGCATCGCTTAGTTGATCCTTGAGACGGGGGGAAGCTTCTCAATGGGAGCAAAAATGTGACCTGGTGGCTTCGAACGAAAAGCGTGGAGCGATGTTACAGTTTCGGCCTAGATCGCATCCCTCCGCAATTCTGTTTTCACCAGCAAACTTTCCGACAGCCCTCCTCCCGTTGATAAAGGACGACATTCCCACGACTTCTCACTGAGACACTTCTCTACGATCCTCGCCAACGTCGCTGGATGCCCGAGGCTGTGGACCCCATATGGTTGAGTCGTGTCGTGAGACCGGGATGGCGAGATGGCGGTCTCCTAATGGGAATTGTCGCAGTCTCAAAAGTTGAGGGATGGCTTTGAGACCTCCGTAAGAAAGCTTTTGGGTCTATTTATGGCACACAGTCTTTAAGTGTCATGAGAGGAAATCGTGGTAGCTGGAATGACTGCTATGTCTTGAGCTCAGCCTCACTGATCACTGAGCCTGGCCTTGGCTTCCCATCGCGACTTTTGCTTTGTCCTTCTTTTGCCGGATGCGATAATTCGCCATCGTCTTACGATACCGTTTCAAGTCTGGATTGTGGCGACGAAATGCTTCCTTGTCTGGGTTCTCCATTCCAGGTCCAAAAGAAGGGTTTGTCGTCTCAAAGTAACCCTCCGAATCTTCGATGAATTGGACATCGCTGAGCTTGAGATCAGCCCACTCGTCTGGATTGTCGTCTACAAGCTCGATCAATTGAGTCAGAAGGCCTCTGTCTGAACCGGAAGGATAGTTTTCGCGATCGACACCGTTCGCAAGATCTCGGACGTAGTAGTCGACTAGTCGGTACTCGTCGCCAGGCGGTGTCCAACTCTCACCGCCTCCGGGCTTTTGGGACTAACTTTTTGATGTGAACACAGTTTGATGATATAATTTTGAGAGTTAATTTGCTAACACAGGCACCTAGGCTTACGCCTATGTTTAACGGCTAGCACGTAGATAGTGTTGCTAATACACTTAGACAAAAATAGACACTATTACAACTTAGAAGAATAAGGCTGCTCTTTGCCTCTAGACTTAATTCCTGCGTCTATCTTACTTAATACCTTTAACCTATCTAACCTAACCTTTCTAACTGCTAACTGCAACTTCTGTTGTTATTTTTGTTGCTATCTTAGTAGAGTTGTAGTTATAGCTCTTTTTTGCCTGCTGTCTATCTCTTAATTAAGGCTTAATGTAGAGAGACACTAACAACACTAATATCTATGCTTAGCTTGCTAATTCTTATAAACACGCTACAAACTTCTTCTGCTTCTTGTTAGGCTTAAGCGCTGCAACTGCTTACTTAACTTACTAATGCTTAGTACAGAGCTACTTCTAAGTCTCTCTATACTTTAGGCATCTTGCCTGTAGAAGAAGATTGCCTAAATAATACACCTTAAGCGCCTCTAGGCTATTAACGTAGGCAATATACTTAATTAACTGTAGTTCTAACTAGCTTCTAGACTCTGCTTTTATCTATATATCGCGTACAGAAGACTAAATAATAGTAACGTTATGCGCGACTAAAAATTCTAGCAGCAAACTAACTAGCTCTAGCACTATTACGTTAAGCTTCTTCTTTACTTTTTTTAGAGGTTGCTTAATAACAGCGAATACTAGCTTTACAATCTACTACTACAGCAACTATTATAGTGTTCTAGTTAGCTTAAGCTGCACCTAACTTAACCTATTTCTCTTGTTATTAAATAGGCTAACTATTATATTGTATGTAATTTATTTATATATAGTGCAGCAGGTGTATAAGAGTCTATATTAAAGGTAAGAAGTAGCAAGAAGCTAAGAAGAAATATACACCTTCTAGGCTCTAGCTATAGTAACGTACTATGTTCTTTTCTTTTTAACTATAATACGTTGCTAGCTAAAAGGCTAGCAATGCCTGTTAGACTTACTTTAATTAGTGTTGTTTTTTAAGTGCCTATAGCAAATTTTTAGAAACCTAAGTTTTGCTTAGTAGCTAGAGCTAAGGCTCTAGGTAGGTTGCTTAGCGGGTAGACCTACTACTGTTTAAATTACGTTAATAACTTCTCTTTTTTTAACTTTTACAACTAATAAGTAGAGGGTAGCTGCTTATTTACTATTTTAGAACAACATTTTAACTACACAAACACCTTGGAAATCTAAAAAAATCGTCCAACTCTCACATGAGAAAGACGTTACTGGAAGGGCCGCGCTTTTAGTGACCTGCTGTTGTCCCTGGCCAGAAGATTCCAACATTTCACGGGCTTCACGACCATGTTTATTCGTCTGCTGACTGATTGTCGATGGGCCGACACCTTCGACGGCGTCGGTGTTGTAAGCTCGGTTCTTGGTCACATCAGCCCACGAAAGACACGGTTCGGCAAGGGAGAATAAACTCACAATCAAGTCAGCGATGTTGTTTTGCGTCCAGCCGCCTCGAGCAAATCGCTGCGTCCAGTCGGGCCAGAGTGAGCCATGCGCAGGAAACCACTATACGATACATCAGCCACGGTATCTTCGTCTCAGCGACCAGTATATACTCACGATGGCCATCTCCACTATGGTGACAGGTATAGAGCCCAAGAGCCGGATATCGACCTGCTTTGGGGCACCCATACTGTATACCGGGTGCGGTTTACCATCGACACGGTAGTCTTTCATGTCGATGTTCATCTCCGTGGCGATACGTACGAGACCCTCAGGTGGTATGGTGCCTTGACCTCCTTGCTTGAACGTAGCTTCGATTATCGGATCAAGCGGGACTGTGACCTGGAAGCCGCCGCCAAGATCTAGAAGGTAGGTGCCTTTCGGTAACGAATCCGGAGAGGATTCTAGGATAGCTTGATTGCAGCGGTCTCGGCTCAGCCGTGCGTCTTCTTCGAATGCTGAGTTATAGTCTTCAGAACCAAGAAGCGCATGTCGATGGATGTTGACTTGCCCAGGATATCGGCGCCTCGCGTCGAGAAGGTTAGCGAACGTGAGGTCAAAGCCTGAGACGCCGGGACCGATCGGACTGGTTCTACCTCCGAGGAAGCCCAATGCGCGAGCAAGATTCTTGCCTCCTTGACACTCGCTTGGTGTTCGAAGACGTAATGCTGCGGAGATCTCGCCGTCGGCTTCAACATGCGGTGTTGGTAAGTCATTGCGACTGTCTTTCTTGGCGCTCAAGCTTGCTGCTGCTAGACCCAGCGAGTCACTTCGCGGTTCGAGTGAGCCCGACAGTGATTCGGTGAGTTGCGGTGATATATCGCTGTGCGATGGACTAGCAGACGTTAAAAGATGGAGATCGTCAGTTCCAAAGTCATAATTGGCGATGGCCTGGACATTTGTGCCGGTTGTATGTCGGTAAGGCTTAGCCACTCCGTTGGCCTTGCTAGGCGCTCTCATCGTAGTCTTCCTGGGTTCTTTCTTGGACGCGGTACGGACCTGAGATATAACAGGTCTGCTCGTGGGTGGGGCAAGATATGGCGAATGTTGCCCCATGGGATGCATGTTGTCTCTAGGCGTAGAGAAACCCCGAGGCTCATGAGGGGCGAAACCGTACGCGGAAAGGTCACTAGCCGGCGTGGTAGTCCCTGTATCACGGATAGACTGCGACAGAAACGACGATGCTGGCTCTTCATCTTCCAGTACATGGTATATAGCCCCAGGGAACTGTTGATGATCATGCGCGGACTGGTACGCTTCGTCTACGCCGGGGGTAGCGCCAAAGACGAATTCGTCTGCGCCGGTGGGCCACATCGCGTCGATAGGATGATACTGCGGTGTGCGAGAGGGCTCGTGGCTCTCAGAGGGTCGCTCCGCGGATGGTTGACTTTCGTGTCGCGCCCAATTACTGGGGTACTGCTGTGGCGGCATTGGTGACTTCCTCGGCTGCGATGGCAATGAGCCTAGCGGAGTAACTTGCGGTGCGCTGATGGTTGCGGCAAGCACTTCGAAGGTAGTCGATTAGTTTGGGGGTATACTATCTGTAGCAAAGCGGGCAAGTCAGTGGACGATGGGCTCAGTGCGCCATGCGAGTCTTACCAGATGTCTTTGTCAATGATTGCACTGGATGGGTATACTAGCGAGCTTGGTGACATATGGCTGCTGTGTGTATGTCGAGTTAAGCAGGGCGCGGGGTAGCGATTGGATGTTGAGATTGGCGAAAGAAAGTGTCGACGAGGGTACAACGTCCGCGTTCGGCTGTTGCGGCCAAGGGGCTACGCTAGCCTTTACGATGCCTTCACAGCCACCACCTGCTTTCCAATCTACGGTCTTTTACAGAAGATTGTAATAGGTCAGAAGATCTAAAGCGGCTTATCGCGATGCTAAGAGACACTTAAAAGACAATAATACGAGCGGTAGAAGTGGCCTTGACGGGTAGACTCTAAACACCGCAGCTTTGTCGCCATATAGTATGAGGCGTCGAGTACGGGATGTGCTATAGTGGCTCAGCTCTGATGTTTGCTTAATCTACTCGATCGTGCTCGTTCTTCAATACACAGGGTTTGCTACCAAACTCCAAAGGACCAATCTTCGGGTCAGATACACTTTGTCCGATTGATCTAACTGGTATGTGCTATACAAAGCAGTTCTCAACGTACCCAGCTACAAACAGTGCGCAGCGCCCACCGACTCGGTGAGTTACATCCTGGTGTGGCACAGCAACGACAACCACGTTTCCTTCACCATTATCCGACTAGAGTCCTCCTTCACAGTGTTCTTCTCTCGAGGCGGTGAAGTGCTCGATCTACTCAGGTAGGGGACGAGAGTTGATCAAAGAGATTATGTTCACTCCGAGGATTATCTCCTACAAATTCTAATTAGATGGGAGGTGGACATGCATCATTACAAACTATTGCCAGTGACCAAAGGCCAAGTAACAGCAAGAGAGGGCTGGACAGCCAACATACCAGATAACATGGATACATCCACCACCGAAGTGGCCCCAGCCTTGTACTCTGGTACAGGTCGTCGAAGCACTTCCTCAGTCTTTGCAGATATGGCCATACCAGGCGCATGAAATGCCATATCTGGAAGGGGTATGGTCCCCATAAAGCATGCGTGGCTGAGTCTGAGCAGATTCGTACCTGGCACCGGTGCGCCCTTCAAATCGGGGAGAACTTGAGGCTGTGCGCTGTAGAGCGGATCTAGAGAGAGAAAGGTTTGGGCTGAATCCTGCGGAAGAGTGAGCCCCGCAGGTGCAATGTTATTCCGAGGCTTCTGAAGACGAGAAGATGACTTAGATGCAAACTGTCCGTAGCTCCTCTCGTCGAAGCCCAGCTGCGGACGTCTACGGAACTGTTGATTAATGCTATTAAAGCCGACGTCCGTCATGTCTCCTGGAAGCGACTGCGGGTATGGGAAGGGCGGTGTAGCGTTTTCGAATTCGTCTATCCTGTGCGGATAAGCTATCCTATAGTCAAAGTCGTATGCTGGAAAGGCTAGTGCGTGTATTAGCGATGCATTACAAATTTCTTTTGACTGAATTGACCCACTGGTGTTGGTGCTGGAGCTGATCGTCGCCTGGTTGGTCGTCGCGCGCGGGAATTGAGCGTTGCACTTCGAAGTGCACTGTGAACGGTTGACGATCGCCGGCTTGCTGGACGCCGTATTCCAGCTCTCGAGGCCGAAGTTCTCCCTCCCAACTCCCAGAGAGTTCGTGTCATCGAAGTAGGTATCGTACTCTCCTGGGCCTGTGAATGGTCCTTGTACATCCAGGTATGTGGTGCTTTCGCTCAGGTGGCGCATATACTGCCCTGGAGGGGCAACTGCGTTCACATAGCAGTCCTCCGACATTGTTGTGCTAGGTATACCGAGCATTGTGCGCTGGAAGAGGTTTAGAGACCCGTCATGGGTGTCTCTGCGAGGCGCTGTGGATCTCGAGTTAGGGCTATGATGAGCTTTACTAACATTGTGCAGGCGCTGCGTATATTGACGCAATACATGACCTTCAGACAAGGGGTGTCAACTTACGCATCGCTATTTCGCCGTATAGGGCCTGGCAAAAGTCTGTAAAATTGGAGAGGAGGCAGAGTTTGAGCCAGGTTCTTGCCTCGGGTATCACACAGGGCAGAAAGGGCGCTGGAAGAAACACACTAGTACGAGAACCAATCTGAAAAGGCTGCGTAGTGAAGCTCCGCATCCAACGAGGTTAGTCTTAGTTCCATTTTGACATCGTCAATGGTTACCAGAATGGGTAGCAATGTGCATATTGTCAGTAAGAGAGACACTGATAAAATAGGCCTTTAGTGGGAAGACATAGAACATGTGACATCGCGCCAAGAACACAGCGTAAGCTGTAGGCACAACTCTGGATATCTAACATGACCTTTCGCCAGCTATGATCATCAATCAGCCAGGCAGAGAAAGACCTGTTGGCTGGCTATGTACATCTTCCTGAAGCGTCTTTGCGGTCATGACTTCTTTAGTCTTGGTGAAAATACCGTCCCGCTGCCCACCACTTTCGGACGACATCGTACGTTGGATCATGAACCCGAGTCGCATCGTAACTCTGCTGCGGAAAGATTCGCTCTAGCGCCTGCCAATCAGTCTGATAGAGACCAAGGGGACTAGGCTGTGGAAGAGGACCATATAGTTTAACCATTTCCTCTTGTACTTGTTCGACGTAACGCTCAAGTTGAGATAGTCGTACGTTATTATGGCCGTGTCGACGAGCGTGCCAGACAGCGAGGGTCAGCACCCCCTGATCAGCTCCTCCAGGCCAGTATACTAGTCCGTCGCCCAGGCTGACAAGGAAGCAGTCGCGAAGATCGCAGAACTCGGTAGTTGAGTTCACACGATCGGTATTGATCGCAGAGAGCGTAAGACCGGCGGCGGCGCAAAGGTGACTACGAGCATCTCGTCGATGCTTCTTCATACTGCCGGCGGAGTGGGCCCGTAAATCGCCTACACTAAGCTGGCGGGAGTAGAACTTTGAGATTCGTTAGCAAGGTTCTTGAAGACAGAGGCAGTAAGTACTGACGATCAGCTCACGCAGCTTATGAAGATTCCATCCGCTCGCTTCGAAGCGCTTCCAGATAGCCCTCCAACATGAGGCTGCTCGAGGAAAGAACTGCATCCTTCGTCAGTTCATTTTGCGCGTATGGGGGAGGGATTGAGTAGCCTACCGCAGCAATCTCCACAAGAGTCACCTCGATGTTGGGTCCAATCAGGCGGACGTCAACATGGTCCCACAGCGCTACGCTGTTGAAGGAACAGTATGAAGATTCTAAAGCCTTCTCAGGTAGAACCATACGTGGGGTGATGCAAAGCCAGGCAAGTTTGCGAGACTCTGGCCACTCGTACCGATGGATACCAGCGGAACCACTGGACCGAACGCCGGATGTTCTAGGTCCTTGCGGTACAACGATCTGGTCCTGGCGTTTAAGTAGAATAGGTGGTGGTGGTGGTTGGTAAGCTTGGAGAGCCTGCGCCGGCTGTTGGGTTTCGAGGTATCGTAGATACCCCGAGAGGCTGTGATACATAGCTTGTTTTACGAGTTCGAGGGTGTTGAGGGCTTCAAATGCTAATCGCACGTCACGCGGAACGCGCACGGTGTATCCGGGCGCGTACCTCAAGAGTTCGACACACTCGGCAACGATGATACCCCTTCCGTTGGCGGAGTCGCTAACCCAGTAATGTAGGCCACTCTGTGTGGGAACCATGGCCCCGATCTGCTCCAGTCGCTCGCTCAAGTCGCAGAAGTCCTTGATGATCAGCTGGACCATGGGTGTATTGAACGCTGCCTCAGCGCGCAGTCCGTTGCGAGTCAGTTCATCTGACGCTTGATAGTCTTGGACTTGAGCAGGGTTATCACCGCCGTGACTGACGATGTGACTCAGCGTGTAGCCTGAGCCACCTGAAGGAGACGCCGCACTATTCGCGAGGTCTGTGACGGCCGTAATTAGTACATTGAACCCCAAGCAAGCTAAACGGGGATTCGACTGAGGCAGCTTACCGTTATTCTGATTCATAATGTCGCTTGCTCTTGTTTGGGCGATGTTGGAGCTGTGGTAATGTCAAGAGGGTCTGTCGGTCATATGGTTTTAGTATATAACCCCACCGACACGTGAATAGATACAGCACGTGCACACGCGCTTGGATCCAGCGTTTGTCATTAGCTAGGGTCAGGAGAGTAATTGTATTACTATACGGGATTACGCAGGCAGCAAAGTAAAATGCACCATGAGTTTTACTTGATGTGTCAAATATCGCCGTCTGATCATCACTCTCCGCGTCACAGTCTGCCAGAACAGCTCCTGTGTAGCATTTCCATAGCTCTGTATCCAAAGGAAAGGTCAAGGGGAAGAAAACCCAAGCATCCGCGTCCGGTTCGTCATGCGAATGAAGCGTTCCTGAACACTGATGTGGGACACCACAGCAAATGTTGAACAGAAAAGCCATCTCCTGTTCGTATAACTGGGTCGCCACGAAACCGCGTCTCCAATATCTGGTATGGCTTCCTAGATGCCGCCAGAACTTTTACCATACTTGCTCACAAAATGTTTGTGGATCATAGCAAGGAAGGCCGGCGAAGGCGTGTCTTCCAATACCACGTTTGTGTCCGGCTGAATCAGATCCGCAGCGGGAACGGATATGCCGTGCTTCGCTGCATACTGGACGATCTCCGACATCTTGACATCCATGTCATGGGATACATTCCGCACATGCCAAACGCAGTGCGTCATGAGCTGTGCGTTGCGACCAGCGGGGTAATGCACTACTCCGTCCCCCAGATGGTAAAGGAAGTAGTCGTGAAGAGGCCAGGTGCGGGCATCTTTGTCCAGTTTCCCTCTCGGTGACATGTTTGAAGGTACGTTCGTGGTGAAAGTATGCTCTGGTATGTCTTCCGGTCGGTTATCGTGATAGTGGTGGAAGGTCGTCCGGTGGAAGCTCTTACCCGAGCGTAGCTGACGAACATAGGCCTGGTTAAGTAAGCATAAGCTTGTATATGTGACTTATGGAAAGAGATTCAAAAACTCACTATGAGATCAGCGATCGCCTTTGGGGCCCAGGACTTCCGAATGCGATCCCAAAGCTCGTAGTTCACGGTCTGAAATGGAAGAAACTGATCGAGTATCAGTGAGCGCTTTTCAGATCGGAGCAGTAGACTTACAGTGAGAATTTCCTGCGCAGTCGTGACACAGTTGATCAAAGTAGGATCAACCGTTTTTGGTGGAGCCACACCCCTCAGCTCATGACGATGGTGGGAGTTGGCCGCAGGTGGAAGGCTTGCCAATGGTCTACCTTGAATCTCGACAAAGGCACGGATCTGACCACGGGACATTGCAATGCCTGCACATCCCTGACCGGCGATATCTTGTGTGTTTCTGAAGGGGTTACCAGCCATGTAAGCAGCAATGGGGTCCGCTAAGCCAGGCTGGGGGGCTACGCCTGTTGGAGGCATAGCTACCGGGATCACGGGCTGACTTGGAGGTGCTACTACCACTGCCGGTGCGACCGCCATCGCGTTGAGCACCGGCTCTGGCGCAGACGCTATCGGATCATGTGTGGGGATAGCAACTTGAGCGCTCAGAGCTGGCATGAACATGTCTAAGATGCGGTCCAGCTCCTGCGACGAACAAGCTGAAAGTAGACTCTCGGAGGGTAGTGACGAGCGATGCTGAGATTGTGATTCTTCTGCCAGTGCGGAGATCTCGTGGTGGGGTCGCTTACCAGACTCATGCACTTGTCCTTCTGCATTGTTAACTGCATTAGCTGTGCGAAGTACTTGGACCCCGTTCTCAGTTTCAGAAGCTTTTCGCTTTCTCGGTCGACCCAGGGTATACTCCTCGTTGATCTTTACCCCATTTGACATTGATGCAATCTGCTTATGGTATACTTCTTGAATCTCAGCTGGTGCCATCTGCAGATAGTAGTCAGGCGTTGTAAGGAAGATATCAATCCATGCGTCGTGAAGGCGATCTTTGGATATCATGTATAGTATCAGGTCGTCATCGTCCTGGTTCTGTCCAAGCCGCATCAATAAATCTCTGGAGAACTCAATGACTGCCCTGACTCGCCGGCGATGATATTCGTTGCTCTGCAAAAGCCGGTCCTGCAGCAGATTTCGACGCGTGTAGTGTGCGGGTGTGTACGTCACGGCGGGATTGTTCCAAGGAAGGTCTGCAAGAGAAGGTGGTTGCTCTCGCTGGGCGCTACGGTCGACCTCGTTCGCCATCTGCGACGTGACGCCGCGCGGGGCCGACATGGACGCTACAGGTCGATTTCCATATGGGTGAGACACCATGGCATTGCCTGGGGGGTCTGGAGTGCGTGTCAGTAGGAACAAAATCGCGATTTGGAAGCTTACTTCGGGCTCCGTTACTCGTCGTAAAACTGTCCGGTGCATCCATGTTACACAAAACTTTGTAAGAAGATGAGAAATGTTTGAGTCGAGGCTGAAAGCGCTATGCAAAAGATAAATGAGTAGAGAGCTTTGTGAACCGGTTGAGTTGTTCGAGAGTTCGGCGTTCGCATGAGCCCATAGGCCATCTGCTCTTGGTGGGGGGGAGAGGTCGTCCGCGCAACGCCAGAACGCTCTAATCCATTTCGGGAAGTAACTGTGAGTCGCATGCTCGAGCACAAATGACAGGTGGCGAAAATACAGAAACTTGAATGGACACATGACCGTGTCATGGAGCCTACACGAAGGCTTTGTGCTTGCCGGCATAGTGAGGATATACGCGATAGTAAAGAATGTGCGGAGAAAGAAATGGCTTCAAAGTTGCAGTCGGTACGTGATGAATGGACGCAAGCTTGAGACGAGGGTAAGACTTGATATGGGTATTAATCATGGTATCACAGATTCTTGCTCATACTACCATGAGCCGTCGCAAACCTTGATTCCTGATTACCTACTAAGCTTTGATCGCTTGATCATCGCAGCATAGATCACAACGAGCAATGAGTTCCATGGTCTGATGAAAATTGTTGCGAGTGATGGTGGTCGCATGATGGATGAGCGAAGATGAGGTGGTTGCAGCTGTTCGGCCATTTGAAGCTCCTCCCACACTAAACTGATTATGGACAGGGGCATGCTTGGCGGCAAACTTCGCAACCTGGGGATCGGCCGCCCCGCTTCCAACGCCGACAACCTTTTACTGGACGCCCGAAGGCACAACCAACAAAAGACGCCTCCACTAGTACCTGGGTATCGAAACCTGTTTGCGCGGCTCTTGCGCCAACGACTCCCCGCTCGTCTGTCTCATCAGCGACTCCAAACTACGGATGGTCGCCGAATTTGTTCCAGTAGTCGGCCTTCATCGCCAAAAGCCTCGCAGGCGACGGCAACTGGTCCTCCACAGCTAGGTTTGTGACGTTCATCTGCTCATTAACCGGTACTGTGATGTTGTACTGCCTTGCGTACGCAGCAGCTTGACTGAGACGAACGTGGCGATCCCCGGTGACCCTTCGAACGTGCTCGATGACACGCGTCAACAATTGCGCTTGACGTCCAGCAGGTGGATGAGCCACACCATCACCCATGTTGTAAAGGAAGAAGTCGTGCAGTATCCTGTTCTCGCCTTTCAAGAGGCTGTCTCTGCTGACGTTGCGAAGGGAGGCCGTGGGAACGAAGTCTGGATGCTCCTCTTGCCACTCTTCAGCGGCTTTGAAATGATACGAGATCTTCGAACGACTACAGATTCCCGGTGTCTGAGTATCATGTGCGTAGTTCTGGTGAGAATGGCATTAGCTTAGTCTTCTGTCAAAATCCAAGATTTGAAGCCACACTTACAATGTAGCGGGATATGTCCATGGGTCTCCAATGCCGCATCGCCCGGACACACGTCTCGCGGGTGGACGTGCAGCTGTTTGGAAAGTACTGCCACGTTGTTAGTGATCTGCTAATGTGCTTGAATCACACGGATGTTGCACTTGCCGTAAACATCTCCTCGATCGACGTCTCAAAAGGGCAGCAGCGCATGTCAACGGATGCAGGTGTCCGGAAGTTGGTCATCTCAGTGCCATGTACTGAAAATGCAAGAGAAGGTAGTCGTTGGATGCTTTTACCCTCGATCTCCACAAATGCTCGGATGCGCTCAGCACCCCAGGCGGTGTTATTGTTACCCGGTGGAAGCTCACTTCCTGGTCGGAAGCCCGCAGTGGTGATACCCTTTGCTTGAAGCAGCTGATGGAAAACTGGCGGAGCCGCCGGGTTTTGCTCGAAAGCAGCTACACCGCTGCGTATAGACCGCAAAGGAAACACAGGCACTTGGGCGACAGAGTGCTGACCTTGATGAGGGCCTGGAACTAGAGCTGATGCTGGCTGCATGTTTCCCTGAGACGCCTGTTGTGCGGACTGGGCCGGTGCTAACAGTGGGCGTGCTTGAGGTACATGATGTGTAGGATGAGCAGACGACAAGCGCTGGGGGGCGACAACGGCCGGGAACGGGAATGACTGGACGGATAAGCCTACCGGAGCCGCAGACGACTGGCGGAGCGCATGAGGACTGGTCTCTGATAGTTGTCCCAGGAGCAGACCTCTCCTCAGCCCGGTTGTGTCTGTAATGTTACGGCGCGCCAAGTGAGGCTGACCAAATCCATCTTTGAACGTAGTCCCGTTTGAAGGGTCTCTGGCGACGTCGGGGTATGGGGTCTTTTCGGCAACTCGCGGGGTCTGTGAGTGGGTCAAGTGCTGAGAATGCGAGCAACGGGGAGCAAGTTGCTCAGATAACTCTCCTGGCAGAAACCAATCATAATTGGTGGACAGACTGGTCTCATCCTGCATGGTCCTCGCGAAGCTCGGCCAAACTCCAAAGTTGTCGACCAGGTCTTCCTCGTAGGCCGACCTTACTCCAGGCGGCGCTAAATCGAGCCATCCCTCGGCGAAGGTGAAGAAGGTTATCCATTCCTCCGCTAGACATCCGCATGGCAGCCAGTAACGGTGGCCGGCAGCCAATTCGACAGCTGTGGGTGTCGAAGAAACATAACTGGAGCTGTACTTCCAGATACTTGCTAAGAGCGGTGCAATGCTCTGGTGGTTCATGCAAAGGTCGTCGGCTTCGATCATGGCTCTCGTGAGTATTGGCTTTATCCTCGGGGTGGGAGTCTCGGCGATGAAGCCAGTCAAGGCGTTTGGGTGGAAAGCCATTGGATCACACTATACTTTATCCAGCGATGGAACAGCAGTCATGCCTGCCGTGACTGTTAGCCTTTGAGTTCTTGTTGTCGCGAATCGTAGTGCATACAATTCTTGTTGTATCAATACCCGTCTCTGGGCAATTCGCCGTTCTTGCGAGCGGTGTTAGTCGCAATGACACTGCGCTACACTCGTAGAATGGGTGCAAATCTCATGCAGGGATTTGTTCGCGGCTGTAGATATCTTGGAAACGAACCAGAGGGGGCGTTGCGGGCTCTGGTCCAGATGTTGTGAGTTGCAAAGTAAAAGATATGGCTGGACGCTCAATCGAGGTCTGTGCCCCCAAACAACCCCTCCTCGTAGTGAAATGTATACGTACAGGCGGTATGCAGCTTCAAAAGAGGTCGCCTACTCGAAGACAGCGCTTTACTGAGGCACATCGCAGGCAAACAATGCTTGGCACCTCCTCCGAAACTGGTAGGTAGGCCCACTGAGCCAATGTGTCGTCACTACGTCCAGCCTTTCGAACCTGTTCATAAGCACGAGACAAAGGTTTCTTTAGCTGAAGTCGTTTCCTGGCTGAGTCATGCTGTGCCACAAAGAAAGTTCGTCGCAGATGTAGTCAAAATCCTGTGCCTGATGGAACTCGGATGTCCATGCTATAGATACATCATCATCTCCGTTTAAGGGGGTACGTCTATACAAAATGTGACTACTGACCAACTTCATCTCCTGATGTCTTTGGGGTTCATTTCTACTGAGCTCGTTATCTCATACCCTCTAGTGTCACAGGCCGTGTACTCACTTGACCAGCGGAGTCTGAGCATCTAAAAATTCGCATACGTAAAGCTATCTTCCGCACCTCCGTTACCGCCTATTGGTCGCTTGCGCTTCATATAACAGGGTATCCTTTTCAGGCGCGCCGAAAGCGCGCTAGGCAATTGTTTGATCTCGAGGCGGCTTTGGAGCACAGACAGCGTCACCGGGTCATGCTTCGATTTACAAAGCCGCCGAACGTTAGACTTGTATGTGCGCTTCTGTCTTTACCACCCAAGAGACTGCACAGGCAAGTCAATTGTGACAATCTGTACGTCTTCAACAGCGTTCGCGACGGACTCGCCTTTTCTAATTCGGCAATCAAAATGCGAAACGTCATGTCTATCTGCAACGGCTATTCAAGGCCTAGCATCAACATCTATCCTACGCGGACTCGCAACACAGCAATTCCACTCGGTATGATATAAAGCCTCCACATTTATCCGCCCTAAATTTCTAACAATCTCCAGAAGTGACGGGCCCCAACACCAAGTCCTCGGCACAGGCTACACACTACGACGTCCTCGCCGCGCATAGCGTTGATGCGTCTTCTCCACCTGCATCAATATCGCCACTGTTGCACACCACCCGCCCGGCCGAGACAAAAGAGCTCCAGCACGCCCCCCTCATCGACGAATGCATCAAACGTCTGCAAGAAGAGAAGAAAGACAGTGTGAAGGCTTCTCCGAGCTTCAACACAACAGAGATCCGGGGTCTGGCCAACAACAAAATCGGATTCGTCTCCGTAATGCGGCTCTCCACAGTCCAGACACTCCTCGCCCGCTACGTGTCCATGAACGATCTCGCAGCCCTTGCCAATGCATGCTCGGCCATTGGAGGTTCGCTGAACCTGGGAGATGAGAAGAGCAGGAAGATGTTCGAGGGTTTGGTCAAGGACGATCGAGAGGCTCTTGAGAACTTGCGTGGACTGCGCACGAAGCGGAAGCTCGACGGTGGTGAAGAGACTGTGTATGCACCATCATGGCGCCCTGAGTCGCGAGAACGGAAGAGGCTCAAAGCTTTCGCCTCGGTTTCCATACATGACTAGGGAGTTGCGCGTCTTTTCTTGTATAGCAACAACTTGATCCAGGGGACGTGACGCAGAAGCGTAAAAGTTTATAGCGACTTGATGTATAGTCGGGCATTCGGAAAAGTTTTTCATCCTATCACTCATTATGCGAGCTGCCGAGATGTCAGAGCCGACCCTCAGTGACCAAGGAACGTGATGATAGGGACGCATGCCGTGCTGAAGTTTGCCAAATCGTGCTACAAACTTCGCGACTCGCTTGTCTTTCCCAGTACGCAGATGGCCCGCAACAGCCTCTACACAACGTCACTGTTCCTTTAGCTGCTAATGGAACAATGATTATTCGAAACTAAAATGTACTTCGTTTTTTCATTAAGGGCTCGTCGTGATCCGACCAGAAACTCGGGCATCTTCTTAAACTGATGAATATGGTTTGCTGGACAGGACGCTTATGAGCACTGTACATTCAAATGGCGACTTAGGTCATCGCAATGGCCACAAGGGCCGAAAAGTTGATGGGCGGACGACTTGAGCACCTTCTACACATGCATACTTCGCAAACAGTGGAGCCGCAAAATCGTCCAACTCGCGTATCCTCGGGCTTCACGTAGCGTCAAGTACGCATGAGATCCCAGACGCTGGACTCGGAGACTGAGAATGCATTCCGCCATGTGCCCTATGCCATACTCGTCTCCAGGGGTAAGCAGTCAGTAGCCGAAACATTGTAATTCACTGTCGAGAAGATTAGCGAAGATCACACGGACCCCCAACAGACTGCCCACATACTTACCTCCACTTGCACTGAAGAACAGCATCTCATGTCAGTCGCAACAATGGAGGGTACAAGGCGGTTATCGTATCCCCAAACCCAAGGCCCGACGCTGGACGCTCCCTCAATCAAGGTATCGTGAAAATGACAGGAGACATTTTGCAGACACTGACAACAAATTCAGGCCACTGTAACCTCCCCGGCTGCTGCGCGCGAAACACCAGATGACCGCCGCTCTCCCTCTCCGCCGCCTCCCGACGACGGCATCTTTAACAAAAGCTACTACGAGGGTCTCGCTGACCGCTGGGGAGTCACAGTAGCCGAGTTCGACTATCGGGAAGACAAACCAGGGGTTTGGCTGCACGACTTAGACCGCGCTGGCATCGGCCACGATGGATGGTCGCTTTCGCCATGGGCGCTGGCGTACTACGATAAATACCCCAACGAGATGGACGACGAACGGACGCGCGACCAATACGAGCGTGGTACAGGAAAGCCGAGGGTGAAGCCGTTCGTGGACATCAAGGAAGTGACGCCACTTGTGAGAGGTAACGACGGAAACTTCAAGCCGGCTACCAAGTGGCAAGAGGTACCAGATGAGCCTACAGTCGACCTCGGCGGTCCGTCAAACTGGTATACCAGAACACCAAAGCCGCGGAGTAATTGGCTCGAGACGCTCAGTCGAACACCCAACACGACAGGGCCGCAACCTCCTCAGCCTCCTGCACGCCCCGATCGCAAGGTCTACCGTCTTCCGACCCCGCATGACCACCAGTATGAACCTGTCGGGGATCCCTCAAGCAGTAGCTCTGAACCGGGCACCGGACTTCCTCGGGTTGACGAGGGCTCCGCAGTGCCAACGGGTGTCGGAGACGCCTACTTCTCACTCGCCGCGGAGGGTGCATGGCCGATGGATGTTGACGACGATTTCGTTGAAGGGTTTGAGGAGCGCCTTGTAGATGTTGACGGAGACGATTTCGAACATCATCTCGGGAATGAGCTGGAAGACGTTGAAGATAAAGACAGGAACGATCTCCACATCGAACCTCAAGACGTCTTCGAGGATGACGACGAAGACGGTGCGGAGGGCGGTGTTCAGGACAATGCTGAAGGCGATATTGAAGACAATGTCGAAGACGCTCCCCAAGCCAGCCCCAAAGACGATCCTTTCCATGGCCTCGACGACACCTCCATCCTGAGCGACATGTCAGCGCCTGACGAAGACCTCGCGCTACAAATGTACCGCGAAGACCTTGAGAATATCCACTCACATCTCATCAAGGAGTCAAGGGACAGTCTTTGGCGTTCTTTATCTTTCGACATCAGAGAAGAATACGAGACAGCGCTTCCACTTTACAACAAAGGGCTACCGAAACTGGGCAACAAAGAAGCTGAGGTGGTGAGTCTAGAGGATGCGATGAAGGCACGAAGGGACTATGACGAGTATCTCCGCGACCATATGCCGAAGCCTGCAGACCAAAAGAAGGAGCCTGAGCTGTCGACGGTACGTAGACAGCCAAGGCGTTCCGCCAGGAACAAGTAGGAGGTAGTCTTATTGGCCTAGAGGACATGTAGAGTATGTGGCCATATTTCGGGAGCTAGGACAAGTATTGACTTCTTGGTCGCATTGTGTCCGGTACCATGTTGGCAGAAGTCTGAGATGCGGGGTTGAAGTTTGTATCGGGAAGGATGATGTACAGGCACTACACGCTTGTTGTTTGACACAAGATAGTTTGTTAGCATCTTCTAGTAAAAACCAACAAGCAGGCGATCGTACTTGATATGAGCGTCTCCCAGTCCGTTCCGTCATCTCCTTCCTCGATCAAAGTATTGAGTGCATAGTAGCCCCCAACGCTAGGTCGCGAGGATGTCGTTGACGTCTCTCGTAGGTCTGGCGCTGCATAGAGGTCTGTAAAAGAGCGCTTTGGGGCTGACTCGGTGGACCTGGGTTACCAGAGCTCTGGAAGTCTGGCCTGACTTGAGATGACCGATGCGTTTGAAACTCGCGTATATATTCACTTTCCATTACCCCACATTGAGGCTTCGCTCAACCACGACGCTGGATCACCGCATCACTTTCTCCAATCTTCTTCAGAGCCCTTTAACTTTATATCCCGACGATATCTTCATTGCGCTATTACCTGCAACAAGCTCCGCGATGCGTCCTGAAAATACCAAGAACGAAGACAGCCCGCCGCGTGCTTCGCGCGTGCCTTCAAGCAGCCGACGCGAGCCCGAAAACATGCTTGAAGGGGGCCGCGAGGCGACCAGCGGGGATGAAGGCGACGGAGAAAGCGAGGGCGACATGACCGCCGCTCCAGAACCTGTACTCAGGTATCGCCGACGAGTGGACGATCCACCAACGCCGCTCCGAGCACCTCGAGTGCAAACACCTTCTCGTCCACAAGATCCGCAAACACCACCACGCGGTACATCTCGAGGCCTCGAAAGCGACTTGGCTCGGGCCGGCGAAGTCTTGCGAGATCAGACCAGGAACGAGTACCACAGGCGCCGTTCCGACGCTCAAGAGAACCATGCGGCGCACAGGAATACAGAGACGTCATCCGCGGTCGCTCAGGCTCAAGCTGGAGTCGGCAACAGGTTTGGAGCTGGTGGCCAAATTCCGCCTCGAGGTTTGTTTACACCGGTGCTGCGTAGAAACGCTGTTCAGCAGCTGGGTATTCCCCCATCAAACCCTTTCGGTTACGGTGTCGGCTCCTTTCCGCAACTGCCTCCTCAGACGACGCAGACGATTGGTGACGACTCTGCTTCCGAAGGATTTGGGTCTTCGATGGCGGCCATGACTCCTTTTCACCGGCAAGCGAATCAGGCAGCTTTCGAGCGGCAAGTCGCGCGCCAGGAGGCTTCGCCCGAACCGGATCTCCCTCGTCCTCGCCGAAGGCCTGCTGGCTCACATCCTGCGCATTTCCAGACCCCAGCCCGGACTTCTCCTCATCAGCAGCCAGGTCAACAGTCTACAAGATCGCCCGCGCAACCGTCGGCAAGGTCACAGGGCCCGGAAGGATCGACAGGGTCCCCTTCGCGGCGAAGGCTGGAGAACATCGAAGACCAAGACGCAGAGAACATGAAGTAGAGCAGACAGCCAGGAGAGGATGAAGAGCCAATAGTCGCGTAGCTTGTTCACGAACTGTAAGGGCGGTGCGGACAACGGGTTGGAATGTTGTTGACGCTGAAGCTTGGCTTCAGGTAGGGAAGACATTGTACACACCCATGTAGCAATAACAACACCAGGAATCTATATGGCAGACACAGGTATCGTCGGTAACATAGATGATATGTGAGATCTTATGTGTAGTCGGCTACGCGCACCTTCGATGCTTGAAGATGTCGTATGGTACTGTGATGTGACTCTCAACGTGACTGGATGTTGACGACATTGCTTTGAGCCGATAGAAGTATGCCGTGACCTATGGATCGAGAAATCTGCTAAAGTCAGCCCATCTGATTGCAAATGAAACATTTAACGCGTTTGATGTGGCAAATGCCGTGACCCTCCGCCCCTGACGACTCTCCGGGGAGCACCGACCTTCTTTGACAATCCCGGAATTCTGAGCACGTACGTGCCTTGCCCTCGATAGGACTGACCACCAACGCGATCATCTGAGGACCCCTCGACATTGCATAGGCCACCCTTACTGCCTCTGCCCTGTGGTCGACATCCATGGCGGACCATCAAAGGACTCGCATCGCGAACTCTTATCGGCATCCCGATCTTGATTAAGGCATGCGCAAACACGATCGCTCTATCACACCACGAGCCTTGAGCTTACTGTCGTATCGCATTCCACGTTCCTTGAGCTTCGTAGCCCACCGAGAACGTGAGCCGCAGCCGCGCGAGCCTGCCGCACCGAACAAACTTCATTCGTATCACAGCGCAACGGCTGACTCGACTTCGTCGTCAAGTCATCGAATGCCACACGTGTGCGTGATAATGAACACGCGATGAAGATGAGGCTGGAAGAAGAACAAAGACGCGAAGGGCGATGGTGACGTTGGCGCGTCTGCCGAGCCCGAGCCATCTCCGCAAGCATCCTCGGCGGCCAGCGGGGCCGCCGCTTCCTTCGGCTAGGCCACTCCTTCTTCAACACCTCCCCAACCGCCCACACGCATCAACAGGCATGCACGCTGAACCCCGTCCTCCTCGGCGACTTCATATAGCGAGTGGACGGTGATGGGTCCTAAGGCGGACAAGCGACACGCTCATACATGCGTACAGCACTAGTCTGCGCTGAGCCATACATGACCCTAGACCAAAACGACGTCGTCTTCCTGGATGTCTCTTGTCACGGCAGCAAATCAGGCTCAGATGGGACATAGTTGATGAGTGGCTTCTCGCGTCCTTGAGACGCGTCACATGCCCATCGTTATTCCTGTGGCCTCGCAATTCTTAACAGCAATTCTCGGCAAACGCTGCAGTACCAGGCAAGCGCGCTACTACCGGAAATCGTCTCTCAGGACACCACACCATAGTGGCACAGAAAGAGCCTGGATCTGGGGTTTCACAGCCCCGTGGGGTTAATATGCTTCGGGAAGCTTCACTGACGCCTGCGTAATCACGCCCGATGAACGAAGCACCGCATACTCGCACGTGGCTCGCCATCGCCAGAGCCCCTTCGTCATAGACCTGTTCAAAGGGGTGTAACTTGGAGATCTGTAGTCTGTAAGACCTTGCCCCTTCTGGACGCCAACCTCGCTACGGAAGACCTTGACACTCGCCTCATGAGCTTGGCCATGCATACACGCTGGCGGATCCACACTTACAACTGCTTGGTTGGTCCATCGAATTGTATCATGAGGATGAAGAGGCTTAAATGCCGTCCTCTCGGACCTGTGAAACGTTCCACTTCGCTGTCGCGGGCAATATTCTCTTGGACGGCAACATCAAATCTCAAGATCGTTTGGAACGGATCACCTACGGGTACATCTGTTCAGCTCCCCGAAGGCGTCCACCTATGGGCACTCAATGGGAGCTGATTCTTTGCAGCTGGTGGGCTAGCTCACGATATTGACAGGCAAGCCTCCCCGTAGACGATCATGGAGGTCTTCTGAGTTCAGCTCACTAGAGTTGAGACAGTGACGTCATCACTATCCAGCTCGCTTGGTCTTAGACAAACTTCGCTGTCGGTCTTTGTTCACGACGGCGAGTAGCATCGAGCAAAGTCGCTTGCGATGTAGAGTACATAACGGGTGTCGCCAGATCGATTCGATTACTGCTACCAAATCGCAGTAAGCAAGGACGTCTTCGTCATGTCTGTAGAGGAAGACATCATGCAGGTTCAGAAGGCCTGACGGCATGGCGCGTCAGCATACTCAGCCCAAGCTCTCAGTGGCGCGCTCCCCTAAACACTGGCTGAATGTGTCCCGGTGCCCGGAAGCCCTTCGTCTCATGTGTCAAAGATGATCGATTTCACTTAGCATGCGGATTTGGTCTGCTATCTTCGCAGAACTTCAGCATGCTTCAGGACTTTATGGAAGAGCCCTTGTCCTTTGGTGGCATAGGACCATGACTGCCAGGCTTGCTTATTTGCAGGGGTGGAGGCCAGGCATCTTGAGCGCACCAGCGTGTCCGCAATGAGGCCGAAGAAGAGCTCCTTCGACGGGTATCCGGACCCCTCAACGTGGATTTCCATGAATAATCCCGACGCAGCGAGGCCTCGCCTTTAGTGCCCTCCGTGGTATGCCTGGGGTGTGGTCTCGCATCCGATCTGCATGTGGGCTACCGAGCCCCGTGCTCAGCGGCAATGGCAGGCTCGCTTGATCATCCTCGAACACAAAGGGCTCGCCCGTCTAGACCTCCTGTTTCGTCGGGGTCGTCTTGTTCTGGGGATTTGCCGGACCGAGCAGGGCTGCCGTGATGCGGGACAGGCTGATTGAAGTTGAGATCCCGAATCCGCTGGATTAGCGAGTCGTCGATGCCGCGAGCGACTGTCGGGGCAGCTTGATGGCCTCCGCAACCTGGTCTCTGCTAGGGCGTCTCGTCAGTGATGTGCATCCAGGGGTCCGATGGGAGCTGTATCCTCACCTTGTACAGCTCAACGACGAGCTGGCATGCAGTCGCTACGCCTGCGACATCCTTAGGATGACCGGCAGCTCCCACCTTTGTTCGCTATCGGATGTGCGTGAGCTCGTCGACGTCAGTCGTGTCGGGGCTTGCGGAGGTGGTGGTGCACTACCGCGACCTGGGGGAGGCCAGCAAGGGGATGCTTGGCCGTGAGATGGGCTTGCTTGAGCGTGTTGAAGGGATGTATGAGCAATACCAGAGGCTCCTCGTCGTCGGTATCAAGCCGCAGCCGTCTTACGAGCGGTACTGGTGCTTCTTTTCGTTGACTTGGAAGTCAGTGAAGGGACAGAGGACGCTGAGGCTAAGCGAGAGCTCCGACTCCTCCTGCCTATATCAGCTCCCCCACCAACGCCAACGCCCGCTCTCTCGCTCTCTGAACGTCGCGATTGGAATTGAAACTGCAAGGCTACACCTTCTCGCTGTCACATATCCCCTACCCTCCGATACGATGGCCGCCGACG